CTGCTGAACTTCACTCTACATTCATCAGAGTTTGAGCAAAATATATAATGTTCAATTTTTCAACTATTTTAATTCATCCAAGTAATGTTTTTCTTTTTAAAGACCGACTTTTCCTTGTAGACCCAGGACCAACCAGGGCCTAGTGGAGATTGCTTCTAATACTTGTAAACTAGAATTTAGACTAGATCTGAATTCTGATGCTGTCTGTATTACTTGTATACTGTACTGATTGTGCTACTTTAGACATGTTGTTTATCCTTTGTAGGTTAATACCTACCCTGGCTGTTTGTAGGCTAAAATGAGTCTATATTTATGCAAATCTTGTGCAAACTATTTAAATGTAATAATGGCAAGGAGCAGATCATGCTTGAGACCACTTGACCAAAAGCAGCACATTCTTTTTCTAGCTATCGGAGGCTTAATAGAAGAATGAACACTGAACAAGAAGTCAAAAGCCCTGAGTCTCAGTCCCAGCTCTGCTACTCTCTACCCTTGTGACCTTGGGCTGTCTCTCAAACTTTTTGGATCTTAGTTTCTCCATCTTTAAAATGCGTGGGTTGAATGAGCTATTGAGTTGTTTCTAGACTCAAGATTACTTGATTCTACATCGTATGACTCTTGTTTCACAGAGGGAAAACCTGGTCTCCCCTTGTAGGTAGGGGTGGGAGCTTTTCAATCTATATAGCATGTCTGACTCCATGTTGTTCATCTCAGAGAGTAACTGCTGCAGTTCAGTCACATGTCCTTGGCTTTTTTTCCCACACTCTACTCACTTCTAGATTGACCAGGAAAATATTTCTAGGCTTTGATTATTTTTAAATATAAATAAAATGTATATTTTAAAAATGCATCTTGGTGCTCCTTGGTCCACCAAGCATAAGTGAACTTGCAAACCTGTAAACTGATTTTAAAATGTTAAATCATACTTTTAAACTTTTTTTTTTTACTATTTTAAGGAATTATTTTTATAAATATTTATAGCAATTATGAAGCATTATCAACAAATAACATGTGTATTTTCTGATGACATAATCTCAATACTGAAATATTATTGTTTGATAAGGAAAAGCCTGAGCATTATATTGAAGGAGAAAGCTGCCATCTACTGGCCGTGTCTTAGAATAAAGGAACACTATAGCTTTGGTGTCCATGCTTTTTAATTCATTGCAGAAACATGAATTACAGCTTAATATGTAAAGACTAAAGTAATAGAACATTATGCCAGCTCGGAATCCATAATGATTATACTGAGGCATAGTGTGCTTTTAAGGCCTTCCTTGACTTACTATGAATTTCTTTCTTTTTTTTTCTTTTTTGGCTCAACCTTTTAATGTAAAAAGTTCACTGATGTACAAAAATGCAAAAGTGTGACAATGACAACATATGAAATTCTGTGATTGAAAGTCCCCTCGAGTGCACTATGGTGCACATGCACCCGCCCACACATACTCTGGCGTGGAAACGTAAACTAATGCAAATTGGTGCTACTGAGAAGTGCCAGCATGTGTGTTTTCCATTTCACCAATCACAGACCAGTATCTACTCCAAACATTCAGTAACAAAAAGTACAGCATCTTCCCAGGAACAGCAAGGCAGACTTCTTACTCACAATGGACCAGAACAAATAAACCCAGCAAAAAGAGTACCGCGTACTTAAATTCAGGAGAGTCATTCATGAGGATTGTCACAATTCCAATATATGGAACGAATCCTCTGGCTCTGCCCACGACATCTTTTTTCTCTAGCCAGGGTTGTCCTTGTTTATACACACCTCGGTCATCCACTGTGTTATTATAGCCTTTGGCTAAAAACTTGATATGCCCATTTTGCTTTTCATGAATCTTCAGGACTCAGTGAACTATAGGAATCTCTCTTCCTTCTATCCTAAAGACAACAATTTCTCCCACTTGTATAGGATCTTCAACTTGATTCGTTAGAAAGAGAAGATCTCCTCTATGAAATACAGGTTCCATGCTGCCACAGAGCACCACTACAATTGGACTTTCACTTCCAGTTATTACCATCAACCCCTTCCAGATCATTAGTGCTGAGGAGACATTCTGAAATTTAGGACTTGATAATAGAGCTGCCACTTGTTCATTTGCCGCACATTGTCCAGAAAGTCTAGAGACAGCATGGCGGGGTCGGCGAGTGGTATATTGGCAAAAGAGAGGGCACGATGTGACCTGCGGGCGGAACGGCGGGCACACAGGCCGGGCTCACACTGGACCGTACCTGGCCCTTACTATGAATTTCAACATAAAGTGTGTGAATATTCTGAAGTGTATAAAAACAGTAAAAGAGATATGAATGGTAATCTGTCTACCTTAGAAAACTATTTTTGTGTATCTTTAATACGTATCTACGTTAACCTGAAAAATGACTTTAAACTATTGTAGAACTTGTTTGCTAATCATTTCTTTTCTTTCTGTTTTAGGATGGGTTTCCATATGCCACCTTTCTGTTCTATTTCTCACTTGCACCTTCATGTTCTGGCACCGGTCAGTCAGCTCAGCTTCTTATCCAAGTTGGTTTATAGAGTCAATTCCTATTGGTTTGTCACAGTAAGTAATACATAATGTTATACCTGTAGCATACAAAGATAAAAGATTAACATATTTTTTCATTTTGTTATAGTTTTTGTTTCCCTCCTCCCTTGCAGTAATAGGCTCAAGTCTCACAGGCTTGGACACATTTAACATACCACTTGCACATATCCAAAAAAATATTTTTAACTTGAAAGATTTCCAGGTCATCAACTCTATGACCTCACTGGGCAGAAAATATGAAATAAATGAACCATGGCATTAAAAATTCAAGACTTAGGAGTTGGAGCTGGATTCAAATTCTGGCTCCATTTCTTAGTTGAGGAACCATATGTAATCTACTTACTTTTTTTAAAAGAATTATTTTGTATAACTATATTTATTTATTATTATTAATTTTTTAATTCAACCAGAAAGAGAGAGAGAGAGGTAAGTGAAGGCAACCGTCTGGGACTCGACCTGTGGTTGGCCATGTTGGGAGTCCAGCACCTCTAATCACCATGCCACATGCTGGCCCCTACTTTTATTTCTTAAGACTCATGTTTTTTTGGTTTGTTTTTTAATTATGGTTTTAATTAATTAATTAGTTTTTTAAATTTTGCCAGAGGGTGCATACACTCACTGAAGAGAGTGAATGAAAGCATCCCTCCATGGGGGATGGTCATACCTCAATATAATTTGTCATTTTTCTGTCCTTTTGGGATTTTGTGCTTGGCATATTTTTTAAGTCTCTGGGTCCGGGACATAAACTATATAGTTGACTGTGTGTGATCCTTTGCCTTAACTACCATGCCACCAGCTGGTCCGTCAATATTTTTTTTTTTTAAGAATTACTTTTTTGGGACCAGCAGATGGCATAATGGTTACATTGCTAGACTCCCACGTATTTGACTATGGTTTAGGTCCCAGACACGGCTTGAAACTCATGCCGGGCATGTGTGCATGGGTGTCCAAAATCCTGAAAGGAGAATGAAGGAGAAGGGATTGCTGAGTAATTCTCCCTGGGAGGTGATTTCTTGCTTTCTGTCTCTCTATCTGGCAGCGATGTGCCCTGTTGCAAAAATCTCTTAAAAAATAATTATTCAGTTTTATTTCTTAATTTTAAAATTTACTATAGGGCACATACACTCACAAGAGAAAGACAGAAAGAGAGAGAGAAAAAGAGTGGGAAAGTGAGAAAGTGAATCGTCAGGTCTGGGCCTTGAACCATGGTCAACCATGTTGGAGTCCAGCGCCTTAACCACCATGTCACGTGCTGGCCTCCCAATTTTTTAATCTGTCTCTTGCTTATAGATAACAATGCCTACCCCTCGATTTGACAAGAGAGTTGTTGAGATAATTCATGTGTAAAGCACTTAAAACAGTACCTTGCAAAGAGTAAGTGCTCAGTGAATGTTCCCTAGTGCCTTTGTTGTCATCATCATTGAATTTACTGTAGAAACTGAGTTTAAAAATTTTTTTGTTTGTTTTAACTGCCAGAGGGTGCATGCACTTGCCAGAGAAAGAGAAACACAGAGATGGGGAGAAAGCAACCTCCAATGTGGTGTGATCACACTATAATCCCATCTCCTCCATTTCTCCATCCTGTGTGGACTTTGTGCATGCATACACATGCACCCTGAGTATTTTTCAAACCATGGAGGCCAGGATTTGAACTGCAGTTGGTCATGTGGGATCTGGCTCCCTTAAACACTAGGTTTCAGGACCAGCCTGAATTTTTGTAAATTTTGATAGTTTAAGCTCCCTAGTAAAGGGCTGACAGCATCAACTACCAGATTTGAAGTTGAAACTTTGAGCCTAAAACATTGCAGAATTTTCTTTGCTGAAGAAAAAATGGAATGGAATTCAACTCTTTATAGACCTGTGGTCTGAAAAGTATAGCCTTACTTCTGAAGTGCCTGGTCCCTCTAGGGCCATTTGGCCAGTCATTACTGTTGTTATTTAATGTGTTCATGATGATAAGGTGACCGATAGTTGCCAAATCTAAATAATCATCAAATGTATGTATTTACCATTAATTAATGAGTGGTGATATTCTAGTCATTTTACAGAAGAAATTGGCAACTTTATATTTCAAATACATTATTTCTCTCTTCAGCTTGTCCATATAATTGTATTAAGTTGAAAAAAAAGTATATTTAAGATATTTATGTGCATGTATTTGAAATAAAAAAGTGGCACATTTTGCAGATGTAGTCTCTTACTTAAGCCATTGTGATTAAAAAAAGGAATTTTTTTCTATTTATAATTCTCTGCAAGATCTTTGCTTCTATAAAATATTAATAAAACACATTTCTTATAATATCTCCTTACACGAAAGACTTTTTTTTTTTTTTTGGAGAGATTTTCACTGTAGGGCGCGTGCGCTCACCAGACAGACAGAGAGAGACATAGAGACAGAAAGCGAGAAATCACCCCCCAGGGGGGGATGGTCACGCCGCAATCCCTTCTCCTCCATTCTCCTCTCGGGATCTTGGGCATGCACGCACACGCGCCCGGCGTGAGTTTTAAGCCACCAGGTCCGGGACGCGAACCGCGGTCGACTACGTGGGAGTCCAGCGGCATAGCCATTACGCTAACTGCTGGTTCCCGACACGAAAGACTTTTTAGTTGGAACACATGAATGTACACAATTGTAAGATCTGTTAACGGATTATTCTGGGAATCTAAATTCTTGTTGTAGCTGATACTTTGTTAGTACGTATATATTATGAAACTTGGAAAAAATTATGATATTGAAGTTCATTCCCAAATTCCTTCCTTAATGTCCTAGATATTATAAGATAATTGAGAAAAGCCCTCTGAAATTATATACTCAAAGAGTTTAGTTTACTTTTTTTGTGGAGAGGTTTTGTTTTTGCTATAGGGCACGTGTGCTTACCAGAAAGACAGAGACAGAGAGACAGAAAGTGAGAAATAACTTCCCAGGGAGGATGGCCACACTGCAATCCCTTCTCCTCTATTCTCCTCTTGAGATCTTGGGCACACACACACATACACACACACACACACACACACACACACACACGGCACCCAGCGTGAGTTTAAGACACCGGGTGCGGGACTCGAACCATGGTGGACTACGTGGGAGTTCAGCAACATAGCCATTATGCCAACTACTGGTCCCTAGTTTACTTTTTTTTAATAAACTATTTTTTAGAGCAGATTTAGTACACAGCAAAATTGACTGGAAAATACAGAATTCTCCTGTACTCCCACCCTCCACACATGTGCACTCTTCTGCTCTATCACATTCTGCACCACAGTTGTACTTTGTTACAATCGGTGACCCTAAACTGATACATTGCTATCACCTGAGGTCCATAGTTTACAGTAGGGTTCACTTTTGGTTGTACATCATGTGAGTTTTGACATATATAATGACATGTGTCCACCGTTATCACATCACACAGAATAGCTGCACTGCCCTAAAAATCCTCTGTGCTCTGCCTTACATTCCTTCTTCCCCACTAGCTTCTGCCACCACTATAGTTTTGCCTTTTCTAAAATGCCATACAGTTGGAGTCATATGATATGTACCATTTTTGAGTTGGTTTCTTTTACTTAGTAATATGCATGTAAGGTTCCTCCTTAGCTACTTTACTTTTTAAAGCACTCACTCACAGTAATTTTTCTTTTTCTTACTGAAATTTTTTAATAATATGCAATGTAGGTAATTGCCTATTTATATACAATGTAAAATACTTTTACTATAGTTTGTAAAACTATTATACTGATCATTATTTTTGTTTTGTATGTTTAGGAGCAGAATATATAGTACCCAGCTCATCTGCTCTGGCTGATTAAGATAGAAATGTCAGTAGAGTTAGAAAAAAGACTATATCTGGAATTAAAAAAAATATATATCTTTTTTTTACATTGCAGGCTGATTATTTGATTGAAAGATTAAGAACATGAAAATGTCAATAGTGGAAGATTTTTCTCATCTTGGCTCAGTATGAACTAGTATCTTGCATCCTTTGAAGTCTAATTGCAATTTTAAGGTTTGTTGGGTTTTATGAGAGGCTGTTACTGAATAACCTTAAATCTTTTCTGAATGTCTGCTTCCAGAGACCTGTGGTAGGCACATGAGGATTTTTTCACTGACTTCTTTGTTTCTTGTCTAAGCATTTTATATATAAACTACTATAGAGGGAATTTCATTTAAAACAAATTCTGTTAGTCAAGAAGGGCTCTGCATTTTTTAAAGTTACAATATTCTCATTTTTCTGTTGATAGTCAATTCTAATAGTAATTTACTTATGAAGAATAAATTGGTATAGAAAGTACTATATTGGAATCTCTAATTAATGTGAAGGAGAAAAATAAATTAGCTAGTTGTTTTTATTTTTTTATGTTTTGGTATGTGCTCACCAGAGAAAGAGACAGACAGAGAGAGAAAGCGTCACCCAGTGGAGCATGATCACATTGCAGTCACTTTTCCTCTAGCCTTCCGTTCTGTCAGGATGTGGGCTGCCCATGCACACAAGCCTGGCATTGTTTCAAGCTGCTAGGACCCTGTCTGTGGTTGGTCCTGTGGGTTCTGACTCCCAGGGCACTTAAGCACTACACTACAGGGCCAGGCCGAAGTTAGTTATTTCTTGACAGTTCTATAGTTTTATGCATATGTTTTCAAAGTGAAGAATACCATACTTCCTCTGACCTTGCTATTGAAAGAATTATATATGTTCAAATTTAGATGCTGGTCTTTCATTTCTTGTGAAATTATTAATATATTCAAATTTAAGATGCTGGTCTTTCACTTCTGAAGCCTAGCATTTTTGAAATAAATTGGTCCTCAAAGCTGCTGTATAATATATAAAATGTCTAACATTGAATTTATAATAACAATGGGTTATCTAATAGAATTTCCTGTAATGGAATTTTGTCTTTAATACCACAAAGGAGGAAGAAATATAAGCTGGCTCTCTTAATGCATTAAAGGTGGTAGAAAATGTTGCTTTATGGCATATTTTTGTGTGTTAAAGGGAAGTTAGAAAGTATTTAGATCTAATTTTTACCATGAAAAAGACCAACTTGAAAGTAGATGCCTATTTCACTAAGAATTGCCTTTTAACCACTAATCTGCACTATTCAGTTAGAATAGTGAATCTGGATAAAGAGTAGGTGCTGAAAGCTTATTCTGCATTGTGCCAGAGTATAACAGTACCAGGTACATGATATGAATGAATATACAGATTAATTTATTATTAGGAATAGGCTGAGATACTGATTTTTTTTGCAGCATATTAAATATAGTTTTAAGTAATAAAATACGTATTAAAATCTTTAGCAACAATATTTGGAATCCATATTTCATTTGTTCATTGATTTATTCAATCAGCAGACATTTGTTGAGCATTAATATATACCAGACATTGCAAGGTTCAGGAAAAAAATAAAATGAGAAAGGAGAGTCTACCTTTAGTTGCTAATACAGAGGTCAGACATAGTCAGTAATTAGAATTTAGTGTATTACATGCCAGTGTCCACAGAAGAGACTGAGGAGGGGGACATACTTCTGAGAACAAGTGACAGAACTAAGTATTGAAAACTCATCAATCTGGCAGACAGTGATAGTTTAGACTGAGCAACACACACATCTTTTCTTGGGTTCTGTTGCCACTGTTATTTATCAACACTTTACTTTGAAACGAATGTCCAAATTTCATCTTATTCACTGGATATGGGGAGAGGGATTTGGATGTAGGGATTATGGGCTCTCAAAATTAGATTTATAGTTTTTTTTTAGCAGTACTTTGTGAAATATCTACAGAGTAACTACTTAGATTAACAGTTACAAGTTTCTATAAATCAAACTATGACCAGCTTCAGAGAAGGAATTTTCAACATGTTCAACCTTTTGATTGTTCTATGAACTTACAGTGATGTCATTGTCAAGATTATGACAATAACATGTAAAACATTTAAGGACTTTTAAATGTCTTGTGAACTTCTTCCAAAATGCAACCAGCGGTTGATTTAATTGATATGTTTTTATATATGCTGATATATTATTCTTTGGGAAACATTTTAAGCAGAGGTTCTCTTTCATTTATAAAACTAATAATCAGATTATTACAATTAAAATTCACCTGGCCTTTCCTGTAGTCTTAAGTACTTGATAACTTCCTGTGTATTAGTTTAAAACAAAGCTAATTTAAAACCTGTCTTAAAAATGTTTAAAGCGATATGGAAAGCATTATTTATGCATGTTGTGATGTTTGTGTAATTATAAGTGTAAGATTAATACAATGAGCTGTTTCAAACTGTGCTTACTTAGCTAACAGAAAATGAAATAAAAATTTAAAAAGTGCTGTGCAAAATTTTGGCTGTCTGGGCTTTTTTATTTTTAGGAGAGATTTTTGCTATAGGGTGTGTGCATTCACCAGAGAGATAGAGACAGAGAGACAGTAAATGAGATGGCCATGCTGCAATCCCTTCATTTTCCTCTCGGGATCTTGGACACACATGCACATGTGCCCAGTGTAGTTCCAAAGCACCAGGTCTAGGACTTGAACCGCAGTCCACTACATGGGAGTCCAGCGACATAACCATTACGCCATCTACTGGCCCAAACTCAGTTTCTCCTACTATACATTCAAAACACAGATTACTTTTGTGGTTCCCCAGTTGTGTGGGGAGATCTCCCCAAAAGGAAGCAATCAGTTCTAGGACATCAGCTGGGTGTTTTCCAATCAAAAACAGTTCTGAAGCTATCTACAGGAGCTAATGTCAGATTCCACTGAGGGCTCAGTCCCCAAGACTATCCTCCCACTTCAGACACTGGTTGCAAGTGTGGCCTCCAGATTTGCCTATGAATAGGACCCCCTCTTTTGGCTTGGTTAGTGTGTGTGTGTGTGTGTGTGTGTGTGAAGTCTAGAGTAACCCATGAAAGACTACCTGGGTCTTTAAGACCATATTCTAATAGGCTTTGTAAAGCAGAAATTGTTGCAAAAATACAAAACATACACTAGGTGTTAAGTGACTGGCCCAAGCAGGTCTAGGTCTTGAAGCCTGGGATTATTAGAGAAGGCTACAGGAAAAGGTGAAATTTCAGTCCAGTTCTAAATAAGCAGGATTTGAAATTGCAGAGAAAATTGGAAGTACATTCTAGGAGGGAGGGTCACAGGAAAACTGTGTCTTATCGCAGCACAGCTCCTAGAAACAACGCAGCCCCACGCATCAGCTACTGGCACTTGACTCGCCTTCCAGACTAGGCAGGCCATACAGCAGCAGCCCAAGCTCCGGAGGAAAGTCGGGAGCCGGCCTCGCGAAGCTTCCGTTTCCGGCCCTTCAGGCTCCGCCTCCGCAGAGACTCCACTCCATTGCGGGAGAAGGGGGTGGCACCCCGCGCCGGCCGCGCAGGCGCACTGTGGACCGCCGCAATGGCGCTGCCGTGCACTCTGAACAGGTATCTGCTGCTCATGGCTCAGGAGCACCTGGAGTTCCGCCTGCCGGTGAGCCTTAGCGCCCTCCGCAGCTTCCGACTGGAGAGGGCGGCCGGGTGGAGGTGGTGTGTGGCTGGAGGTGGCCTGCGCAGCCAGAGCCTCAGAGGCTGGGAGCAGGGTGGGGTGGAGTGTTTGTGCTTTTCGCGGTCGGTCCCCGCGTCCCCAGCACTTCGGCCCCCGGGGCAGGGCTGAGCTTGGCTGAGGGTGTGTGAGAGAGAAGTCTAGGATAGACCACGTCTGCCGGGTATGCGTTTCATTCATTCCTCTGCACGTGTGCCGGTTAGGCAGGTGCATTTGACGGATGCTTTCCCCTCAGGACCCGCTCGTCTAGCGGAGCATAGACATCGGCACACAGCGTAGTGTTTTAAGTCAGAATAGGCGCTTCAAACTCGGTGGAGGAGTTGCTGATGAGGATTAGATGATGGAGAGGTTGAGAAACGGGTTTTATCTATTCATTCCAGAAATGATTTCGGAGTGCATGTAATAGACTGGGCCGAGCTCTGGCAAAACAGCTTCTGCCTTCAAGGACCTTACTATTTAGGGTAAGGGCCGAGAAGACACAAGCATGGGCTTATAGAATAACGCCGGCAAGTGCAGTGATATCGCATAGAGGAATGTGAGTGCATGTAGAAAGGGACTCTAATACACTGGGGCGGGGGCGGTCCGGGGGAGGGGATGTTGACATTTTAGAGGGCTTCAGTGAGGGATGGCACTTAACATAAAGGATGAGTGGAGTTAGCTGGGCCAAGGAGAGAAATAAGTGAATTAGAATTCTTATTACTGCATCATCGGATATGTGGCAGAGAGTGTTAAGAAGAGACCAGGAGAGGTAGGTAAAG